TGTGAACTAATACTAGACTGAATGAGAGGCTATATATATATATGTATGTGTGTGTGTGTGTGTGTGTGCGCGCGCGCGCGTGTGTATGTGACTGAAATCGTAGCAGACTGAATGAGAGGCTATACATATGTGTGTGTGTGCGCGCGCGCGCGCGCGTGTGTGTGTATGTGACTGATATCGTAGCAGACTGAATGAGAGGCTTGTACTTGTGTGTGAGAGAGTTCAACCTGTCACGGAAGAGGCGGGGCAAATTGGCTAGCGCATGCGTGGAACCCAAACTAAGCAATACTAATGCGCTTATGGCAAGCCGTTTTAACATAAATTCGGCTGCTCCACCTTTACATTCAAGATATCTCAAATTGTTTTATGACTAGACGTTTTAGTAATTTAAGATATCTCTAAATATATTTTGACTAGTCAAAATTCCTATTCGGGATATCTCTAATTACATTCTGACTAGTCGAAATGACGTCAGATTTACCATTAACTTGTATGGAGACGTCAATTTAAGATATCTAGAATTAATTACTGACTATCTGAAATACACATTTCAGATATCTACAATTAAATTACGACTAGTCATAAAGGAAATTGAAGATATCTAGATTTTAGTTTTGACTAGTCATAATTCTAATTAAAGATATCTCAAATGCCACCATATTTCTAGCCTGGGTGCCAGTCAGAACTTAGTCCCGCCCACATGGTTTGAGTTCGGGGAAGTTCGGTCTGGCTCTGCTCCATAGTAGCGCGAGTATTAAAGCCCACTGTCAGGCGATCCAATCAAATTGTCAGGGCGGACTTTATACGATGATGGACAGATGATCAACAGTAACGTAATCAACCACGTGACCAAAGCGCGCTAGGGTGACAACAATAATGGCTGCCGCTGGAGAGTTTGGGTGAGTAGATTCTGCTATTAGGTCTGTTCTAGAAGATATCGACAGCAAATAAATTTTAAAAGAGGAACAGAGAAACGCGAAACTGCACGCTTTGATTTTTGTGGACAACAACTATGCCTCGCTTAACATACGTCACGCACTCCGTTGCTCTTATTGGTTGTAGATCTATCCAATTGAGTGCAGAGGCATTTTTTTTCCTGGTTCGTTCGAAACACGCCCCATAATCACAGCTCTATGGAGCAGTATCAGACTCATTATGGCAAGCCGTTTTAACATAAATTCGGCTGCTCCACCTTTACATTCAAGATATCTCAAATTGTTTTATGACTAGACGTTTTAGTGATTTAAGATATCTCTAAATATATTTTGACTAGTCAAAATTCCTATTCGGGATATCTCTAATTACATTCTGACTAGTCGAAATGACGTCAGATTTACCATTAACTTGTATGGAGACGTCAATTTAAGATATCTAGAATTAATTACTGACTATCTGAAATACACATTTCAGATATCTACAATTAAATTACGACTAGTCATAAAGGAAATTGAAGATATCTCGATTTTGGTTTTGACTAGTCATAATTCTAATTAAAGATATCTCAAATGCCACCATATTTCAAGATATCTTAAATGTATTTTAGGATAGGAGATATGCAGTTTTGACTAGTGAAAACTCAATTATAGATATCTTAAAAGCAAATAATGACTAGACAAAACTAATTTAAAGATATCTTGAATTGTAATTTCGACTATTCGAAATTCCTTTTAAGATATCTCTAAATGAATTAAAGATATCTTGAATTATTCAGCTTTTCCATTAAAGATATCTTAAATTGACATTCTGACTAGTCAAAATGACTTCAGTGATATCTTGCCATAATCAAAAACGTCTGAGATTTGCGTAGCATTTTGGCGGACAGGTGTTAGTCATGCTAGCTAATTGATTCTGCTATTCAGTGGTCCGCAATGTCAGGTCAGTCCGCCTCAAATGCTCGTGTTTTTAACACTATATTCAGTGCTGCAACTCGTGCTCGACATGAATTAAGAAATACAGAGAATTTATTCTCTGCAACAAGGAGACTTTTTCGACGTCAAGTGCAGAGAAGTCAAGGTAAGTAGATGTTCAGATGTCGGTTCATATAACTGTAACTTTCCTGGCAAAGTTAGCTCAGTGCTAGTGGAATAATGAAAATATTAATTAGGAAACTTGAAGCAGCCTGGAGTTGGCATCCGCCCTATTAAAATAAAATATGGAATTGGAATTGAGTATTTCATTTGTTCCTCATTTTGCACCAGCAACAGGCGATATGCAGGGTACACCTTTGACATGTTGCAACTCCATCGCAGTCTTTGTTCATTATGAAAAATGTAATTATTGGCTTTCACATTTTAATTTCCCAATTTTGATTATCTACATATTTTTTTAATTTGATTTGTGAAACTTCTATAAGCACCTTATTCAAAATGGTGATGTCTTGTTGCTAGGGTTCCCAACTCCCTGGGGGGGAAAAAAAAAGAAAAAGGGACACCTTATGGTATGCCAGCTGACCTGATTGCCTTCACCCCTCCTGGTGTGGGGATTTTGTTTTAGCCCCCCTTTGTGCGTGAAAATATTTGTTTTTACTATTTGACTAAAATCTGCATCGAATTAAATGCTTATTTGTGAGTGACATGAACACATGGAAAAACAAATTATTATCCAGCAATACACTTTAATACAAAATAACAAAATTTGCTGAATAAAATAAGTATCTTAAACATGCATGTCCTGCTTAACTTCAAACTGTAAAAATGAATATAAAACAATAAATAAATAGTGTGCATTATTGGTGCAACAGTAAACTTATTCAGACTTTTAAACATATTTGTGCCTTAAATTCAATGACCGTAGACTCCAGTTGTAAAACTGAAAAAAATAAATAAATAAATAAATAATTAGCTCAATGGCACATAATGTGGTGATGGCGTACTTTATCCACTTGTATTTCCTCTGAGCACTTGCAGCAGTGAGTTGTCTTTCAGTGCTGCAGAGTAAAACTCTGAGCAGGACAGTTCATAATTGACAATGAGCTCAGCTTTAATTAATTCAGTGGAACATTTGTTCTGCACATCAGTCCATTTGTTCTTCATTAAGGATAAAAATCCTCTCCATAAAACCAGTGGAAGATGGGATGCTGAGGGGTATCGCTGTGCGAAGGTGCACCGTCCCCAGAAGCAGCATTGGCATTTACAGGACTCCTTTGTCCCCCATACTGCTCCGTTGTCTCCCGCTATCTTCTCCGTGAGCAAAACTTAGCTCGACCAATGGGATGAGGGGATTCTGGATCGTTACATATATGCTGTCAGCTCATTGGTCACAATGCAGGACAGGGAGGGGAACAAGTTTAGCATAATTTTTGTATCCAACGTGCCCTTGTTCATTTTCCATTAGCTTTTTACAATTTTTACTCTCACAGTAATATGGGATAAAGTGTTTCTTTTACACTAAATACAGGAAAGGTACTTTGATTTTTAAATACGGAATGATTCCTTTTTTCAAGGGACGGTTGGCAACCCTACTTTTTGAGTTACTTAAAAGCACCTTATATACACCCGTTTCTCTCGGTAAGTTCTTCATTGACATTTTTTTTTTTTATGTATGAGTAATTTTGTTGATCACCTCATTACCAAAAAACACATAACAAATAATGTGGTTTACTTTGGCAATTGCACAATTTTCAATATCTACCAGAGAAACCATGGTGGGTGTTCCTTCGTGAAAGTTATGGAAAGTGGCAACCCCAGTTGGCACACTTGATTATAGCATATCATTTAGCATCTATGTTGGATCAATGGTGTGATTCTGTTGTGTTCACTGCAGGTCCGGTTGGGAGGCTGCCAAGCCCTGTATGGAAGACAAGCATTTTCTTGCTTTCTGGCCCTAATATTGACGTTCTCCCTTCTCCCTCGGATGTACAAAGGCTGAAGAACCATGGATTAGGTGGGCATATGTTTTAAAAAAATTACATTATTTCATACACCCTCATAATGTGACAGACGGAGTTACTTTTGCTTTTAACATCTCTATTTGGGTTGTAATTCATAATTTTAGTCTTTCACCAGAGTTTTCTGGTGGGCTAATGAATTTAAACTAGGGCTATCAGACGATAAAAATTTTATATCAAAATCAATCGCATAATTTCAATAGTTAACTTGAGATTAATTACATATTTAATCCTTTTATTTCTGAAAGTGTAGTAGCCTGTTTGGACATTTTAATGTGCAATTTTTCAATAAATAATACTAATAAAAACATGCTTATACAAAACATATTTGCATTTTTTATTTTTCAAGCACTTTTCTGGCAATTTTCATAACTGGGATAATGGAAAATGGAAAAATGGATAATTGGTTCCATAAAATGTTAAACTCTGGCCTACAGTATAATGGCTACATCATTAATCATGATGCCCTGATGTCGACACAATGTGCTAATTAATGTGAATTTTAAAAACAACTTTAGAAAAAAGAAGCCCAAAGTTGCATGAAATACAGTGTTGGCAACAGTGAGCATGGGTAAGTTTTGCTCTAGTCTGTAGCGCTCTTGAAACTACGGAAAGCACAGAGGGTAAAAAACAGTCTAGAGAGATGGGTGGGGGAAAAAAAGTTTACGTATTAACGTTTTAAAACTGACAGACCTAATTTAAACATAATTGGTGTGGTCTTTGGTATTGTGTTTAACATTGTTTTGTCACCCTTGATTATTCAGGCAACCCTGTGCATGAGGGGACAGAAACCAGGAGCTCTAAAATCAACCTGAATTGGAGCTTGTCTGAACTGAACAACTTTGTGTGTCAAAGCTACCCACACATTAGCCTAAATCTGGTTGGCTTTGAACTGGCAAGAGCTGGAAAAGGACGAAAGGTAAAAAAATTACAGGTGAATTCTGTGAGGGAGCTGAAGGAAAAGGTTGGCAAAAGCAGACTCTACATTCTACCACGAGCAGATGTGTCACAGGTATATTTTTTTTGTACACAAAAAAAATTTGATGTATCCACCATTTTGTATTCCATCATAATTTGAAATGTCTTTGCCATGTCTAGGAAACCTACTCAACATCAGCAATGTCCAGGACCTTGTTTCCAGAACCCTCAACTGCACCAGAAGTACAGAATATCTCTCCAGAGGTTGAGAGGACCACCGGAAATTTGGGGGAAGAGCAGGTCATCCATTTCAAGAACAATATATGCATTTTACATTTTTATCTCATTTCTGATGTTGACTTTAACAATCTCTGTGCTGTATTCACAATAGACACTTCTAGATTGGCGATCTCTGCGGTCCCAGCAAGACAAAGACTATGAAGAGTCTTTGTTAGCAGACCAAGAAAAAGTGAATTACCATTTTTGATATCATCATTTGTTGTTGCTGTTGTTGTTACTCACAATTTTTTTTTCTACCAGGAAAGGAGAAGACAGTGTTACAAGGCCTTGGAGGAAAGACGCATAAAGGTTAGAAATGTTACATTGTTAGGATGATGGGTTTTTAAAATGAATTAAAAAAAAGGGTTTTGGGTGCCATTTTTTTGGCAATTAAAAAAGAAGGGGCAAAGATTTCGGTACCTGAAAAACCCCTAAAAGGGACTGCTTTTGAAGTTCAAATATCCAAAGGGAAATTTATCACAAAAGAACTTTCCAATGTGTCTGACCCAATTCAGGTAATGTTTTTAATTCAGAGTTTGTAATGATTTATTTATTTATTTTTTTAAAAAGTAACAAAAATTCCCTTCCCCTTTTTTTTAAAGTTCTTTTTTTGACTTTGTCGGACAAGAGGGAAAGGGGCCAGTGAAATATTAAAGTTTTTTCAACCAAGCAACGCGCCCACAAAAATGAGAGTACCCATCAGGCTCCTGAGGATCATGGCATAACAAAAATTTTTGTAACTTTGTACGTGTTTTTGGTTTTAAAACTGTAAATTGGGTAAAGAAATTAAAGGGTCCAAATCTAGGGGTGGGAGAATCCCAAAAACATTTACAATTCAAAAACCCCTTTAAAACAAATAAAACACTAAAAAACTTTTTGAAGAAAAAAAATTTATTTTATGAAAAAAATCAAATTTTTTAAAAAATTTTAAAATTTTTAAAAAAAAATTTTACATTTTGGCAAAAAAATTTCAAAATTTTTAAAATAAGTTGGTTTTTAGGTGAGAGAGAGTTTCATTTTAGAAAAAAAAAATAAAATTTAAGTGAAAAAAATTTCCCATCTAAAAAAATTGCCCGTTGGGAAACACTTGTACAAGGGGAAAAGACAAAACGGCAAGCGGAAAAACACATTTAAAAAAACCCAAAAAACAAATGAAAAAAAGGGAACGGTTTAACAGGGAAAAGGGGAAATGTCCCAGGGGGCCCGGGATGTGAGTAAACCCACCTTCCCTGCCTTTTGTCCCCCCCCAGACAAATCTGAAAGTCCTCCGGGTTCATGTGAAAAGCCCAGCGGGTTTTTAAAATTATTGGGGAAAGAAAATTTTTCAGCCATTTTACCCCATTTTGTTTTTCCCGGTGGGGGACGGCCCCTCTGGAATTTTTAAGGGACACGGCCAGGTGGCGGGGCCCCAAAACCGAAACGCTGCAAAAACGCAGCCACCCCACAATTTGACTCGGCCCTGCTGCTTGGTCCTGCCCCCTGGTCCATGTCCCTAAAATTTCCCAGAGCCCACAAAAAGGGAAAAAACATTTTTTTGGGTTTTAGCTTTAAACAAAAGGGGTTTGGGGGGAATTTTTTACACTAAAATCGCCGCTGACTTTTCATGGAAGCAGGAGGACTACAGATTAAAGCTGTTTATATTTACAAGTCGGGGTAAGGGGTGACGTACACCCGGGCCCCACTGGGACTTTCCCCTTTTCCGTGTGGGTTTTTTTTGTTCATTTGTTTTTGCTGTTAACTGTTTTTTCCCGGCTTGCATTTTTTTGTCTTTGCACTTGTAACAAGTTTTTGGGGGAAGGTCAATTTTTTTTAGATGTAAATTTGTTTCCCTATAAGTTTTTTTTTTTTTCCCTCTAAAATAAAAATTTCCCCTCACAAAATCAAAACTTTTTTAAAAATGTAAATTTTGTTTCCTAAAATGTGAATTTGTTTGCTAAAATTTTATATTTTTTTTTTAAAAATTTTAATTTTAAAAAATTTAACATTTGTTTAAAAAAAAATATAATTTTGTTTCTTAAAAATGTTATTTTGTTATTTTTTAAAAGTGTTTTTTTAAATTGTATATGTGTTTTGCACTTTCACCCACCGTAAAAATTTCCCATAAAATGTCATCTGGGTTTTTTTTTTTTTTCCCCCAAAAGGGTTTAAAAAAATTCTGCAACTAGATTTTACGGAAATTCAAAAAACGGAGTGTAAAACTAAAGGGATCATTTCTCTGCTTTGGAAACTAAAATGGGTTTTTTCCCGGTTGTTTTTAAGTTTTTTATTTTTTTTTTTAAAATTTACATACCCTTGCTTCTGTTTTTTTCTTAAAAACCCTTCATTGGGGTTTTTTTACTAGAACATTTTCAGTAAAATTTAATAAATTGCTTTTTACGTTTCCCTTTGGGGACCAGATGACAGTGAAAAGGAGCAGCATTCCCCCTGTCACAACTCCAAATTTTTTTGAAAAACCCCTCCCTTTTAAAAAATTTAAGATTAGGGTTTAATGATTTCAAAAAATTTTTCAAAATCAAAATTTTTTAAAAAATTTTAAATTGCTGTTCCCAATTTAAAAAGGATTTTTTTTTTTTCCAGTGTAATAAAGTTTGGGTTTTTGATTTAAAAGTTTTCCCCTTCTTTAAAACTAAAAGCAATAAATTTTGGGCCCCCTCAAATAAAGATGTTTGAAAAACAAAAAAATTTTAACATTGACGTGTTTAGGTTTTTTTTTTAAATTTTGGCTTAGGAAAGGTATCCATTTTCAGGCGAATGGGGTATGCAGGGAACAGCCGCTGCTCAGCAAGCACGGGACATCTTTGTCCACCCCCGGTCCCTTTTTGGGCCCCAAACCCAACCTAAATGGGTGTCGCCCCATGCCTAATCCTTAAAACTCAATTTCATTCTCCTCCCAGTTCCCTTGTTTTCCCCACCCCTCCCTCAAGCCCAAAACCAGATTTGCTGTCCTTCGGGAAGTTTTTTTTGGTTCCCAACCCAAAGGGCTGCCCCCCCCCCCCCCACTCTTCCCCTGACCCCACAGGTAAATTACCTTTGGGACCAGGCCCCAAAACTTCTCCATTAACTGAGAAACCCTATAATTTTTACTGGAAGCAAGAGCCACCTGTTTCCAAACATCCCCCCGGATTTTTCCTTTGGATGAGTAAATTTCAAAATAGCATTTTTCTGCAGTGCCCTTGTGAAAATAAATTTTTGACGTTGCAAACCATTGTTTACTCAAAGAATACAAAAAAAAGATATATCTTTCTTTTTTAACCCAAGAACGGGAATTTTTCGGGACTATATTAGAAAAATATATACAGCAAGGTTTAAAATTATTGACTCCTGTCCAAACAAGAAAACCAAATAAATGGGGTTTGCGGGGACAGGTTTTGGGAATGAAAACCCCCTTTTCCCCCTTCAGAAAAAATCCCCCGTTTTGTTTCCAGCAAAGAAAACCCAAAAAATATTTTTGTTTTTGGGGATGAAGAGGACCCCCGCTGAAGGGGCAGTTGATGGGGTTGGTCCCACACGAAATATCTACGTTTTTAAAAATGAGGGCCTTTCCCTCAATCAAATGTCTTTGGGGGCATAAAGAATGACCCCCCATCTAGCTTTAAACAAAAAGGGGTTTCAGTTTTTTTTTTTTTTTCCCCCCCAATTTTTAAAGGGAAATAGAAAATTGTAAAAGTAACTTTTTTTTTTTTCCCTTTCCCAGCGCTGGAGTTAAAGATGTACACCGTTTTGGGAAAAAAATGATATCATTCGGGTTTGGTGCATGGAGGCATTGGCCCACATTTCTTCTCTCAAAGGTTTTGTATGACCACATTTGTGGCAATTGTTTTAAACCTACCCTGGTTGAGGAAGTTGTTAACCATTCTTTAAAAACAGCATTTTATCGAAGTTAGAAAAAAATTTTTTAAAGAATTTGGACATTGATAAATGGTTAAATTCAGTTTCAAAACCCTTTTTTGATTTTTTTTTTAAATTTAAGGATCCCAAAAACAGTTGGGAAGCAAACGAAGCCTTTAGCGGGCTCCCGATACCTTGACATTTTTGGAGCATTAAGGCGTTTTTAAATTATCTGGAAGGAGGGACTCCCCGGGCAAATCTGCTGAAAGGACTTCTTTTTTAAAGGGCGAGTGGCGCGGGCTTTGCAACAGTAAGAAAGGCCTAAAAAAAATTTTTTTTTTTCTTTTAAAATTTCCTTCTTTTATAAAAGAAGACCTTATTCTCAATTAAAAAGGGGTTTAGGGAAAGGGTTTTTGAAGAGTTAAAATTTGCTGGACAAATTCAGAAAAACCCGAAAGCCCTTTCATAAATTTTTTTTCTGTGAGGAAAAAAAACCACTTTTGGCACGGGCCCTGTACACATTTTTCCCAAAGTGTTTTTTTCTTTTGAAAAGGCACAATAAAAGGAGGATAAAAAAACTAACCATATGCTCCGGGGAGAAAACGGGTTTGGGGGATATTAAAAGGTACATTTATTGTGATATTGAAAACAAAACCGGTATCAAATACTTTTTTGTATTTGAATGGGTCACCATGCCCAAAAAAGAAGTACCGTGTTTTAAAAGACCATAAGGCCCCGAACAAAAAGGCACAGTTCAGCCCATGTGTCCCCTTTAAAATTAAATTTAACACACAAAAAGGCGCACCGCACTATAGAGCGCCCCCACAAAATTTTTGAGGGGAAAAAAAGACGTTTATATTCTTATAGTGGGAAAAAATGGGGGGTAATCATATATAGATGCGGGATTTTTAAAAAGGTTAAGTGACAGGCCCAAAAAAACGGTAAAATTACTAAAAAAATTCTTTCCTGAAATTTTTTTTTTAACTCCCATGGGAAATATCGGGTTACCAGTGTACTTTTGGGGTAATTTGTTGCTAAATCCCTTTACTTTACTTACTATTTACTATGATCTACTTGGTCATGATTTGTCTTCAAAAATGTTTTTTAAATTTACGAAAAATTACATGCATTGTAAATCCCCAAATTTTAAAACAATTTGGGAGGGGGAAACAAAACCAAAAAGGATTTTTAAAAACATTTTCTTCCCCATGCCCGTTAAGAGTACACGGGGGAAAACCCTTTAATAACAAAGGTCATAATTTAAAACATTTGTCTTTCAGAAGGAGAATGCACCCCTTAAATTTTGAAATGCGGGGGAAAGTTTGTTTTCGGAGCATCCAAGGTACCTCCACGGGGCCCTTTCCCCATCTTTCCAAAAAATTTTGAATTCCTCCATGGGGCTAACAAAGTTTTCCCAAAAAAGCAAATCCTTGCCTTTTAGTACCCGGGCTTCCTGTACACTCGGGACTATAGTTTTTCACAA